CAGCCCACACCACCCCCCCCCCTCTGCCACACAAGCAGGAGAACCCCCCAGCAGCCGCCGTGCGACCTTACACTCCCGACATCTCAGAAGGCCCCCCTCCTGTGCTGCAGAAGCCTCAGACTCTAGCAGCTTCATCTATCTACTCCATGTACACACAGCAGGCCACACCAGGGAAGGGCTACCAACCGGGTGGCCAGGGCACGCTGCCCCGCAGCCAGCCCCGAGGTCAGGCACTGATTACAGCTACTGTGCATTTTACCATTCTACCAAATCAATGTCTGACACAACTGTAGTAGCTGTTTGCTCAGATTGTTTGGGGCTGATGTCTTTAGCATGTAACTGTTAACTTTAGATGAATTGATTTTAATTGATATTCTTTATAATCTTACTATAATTTTGTCATCCTGACTGTTCATGCTGTACTATGGTAGGGTAGTCTGACCTCTGCACCAGATGTCAGACTCTTTGGGCAAAGGGATCTCTCTGCTGTTGCTCTTCCATTTTCTTACCCTTTTGGCAAGTTTTCCAGTTGGAGGATCTGAGTGACAGTGGTGTATGTCGTACAGTTTGTAAAGCCTCTTGAGCTATAAAAATGAAAGTGATGAGTTTTTTGTGTTGCAGAGGACAGATGTAGGTTGCTGTTGTTTTCTTCATCACATCAGAAACTACCCCCGATGAAGCTCATGTTGGTTTTGTTGGTGTTGCCTCACTTCAGTGTCTGTGCTCCCTCACAGTCTATGGAAAGCCAGTCCTCCCAGCCAGCGGGGGGCAGCAGTTTGTCAGCTCAGACACCGCTTTGACTTCTGGGTCTTCTGTGTGTGATGGGAGTGAGGCTGACAACAGTTGCCTGGGTAACAGCGAAGGTGTCGGAGCAGAGGTAGCAGAACGCGCCACACCTCGACCGCTCAGCCCCACCAAGCTCCTCCCCTTCCTCTCCAACCCTCACAGGAACCCCAGCGATGCCGACCTGGAGGCCCTGCGCCGCCAGCTGCACCATGCTCCCCGGCCCCTGAAAAAACGCAGCTCCATCACGGAACCTGAGGGCCCAGCTGGACCCAACATCCAGAAGCTGCTTTATCAGAAGACTACGCTAGCTGCCATGGAATCCATCCCCATGGAGACAGTTGGTCCAGTGGGGACGTATGTTCGACCCGGGGTTTATGAGTATGGCATGGGTGGTGCCAATATAACATCCAGGGATGATGACAAACCTGGCTTCAACCAGCCACGCCCTGAGAGCCCAGAGGACTGCCTGACCCCACCCCCGCTGCCTCCACGCTCACCCATCCCTGACCCTGCCTCCCGCTGCTCCCTGCCTCTCTCTCTGGAGGATGAGGAGGAGGAGGTGTGTCCGTCTGCCTTAGCCCACCAGGACCACTTTCCAGAACAATTCCCCCCCTACCCACCCCCACCTTACCCCAGCTGTGGTGACGTGGAGCAAGAAGAGGACCTACAGCCCCCAGAGGTCACAGGACAGAAATGAAACGTGCTGTCTGTTATTTTGCTCAGGGTAAGAGGTCGATCCTCCATAAAACCGGTTCGGAGCGGATGGACCACAGCGTACGGGTCAAGTTCAACCCTTTGGCCCTGCTGCTGGACTC